GGGGTCCCCGGGGCGCAGGAGAGAGTGGTTTGGAGGAAAAAAAATTTCCCTTAATAAGCTTTTTCCCCCATAAAGTCGTCTCCAGTTTTTGGATGACCGGGGGCATTTTTAAACCCCGGGGGATTAAATTCAAATTTTTCTTTTCAGTTAGGTATCTTTCACTTGGGGGCAAATGCTGGGAAAACCAGTTATAGAAAAATTCCCTAGTGACCCTTCCTTTTTTGCCCCAAGCACACAAAAAATTTCCTTGGGGACATTTTTTTGCCTGAACCTCGGGGGTTTTCGAGGATAACTAAAAAAAGGCTTCACTTTGCAATCCCAGTAGTTTGGCACCATCACAAAGAAAAGCCTGTCTTTCATGGCTTTTTCCCCTGGGGTCCCTTTTCCCCCGGAATGTAGGTTGTTTGGGCTTTTTTCCAAAACGGGCTTTTTTCATCACAATTAAACACTTGTTCAGGTTTCGTCCTAGTTTCTATTACTCCTTGAATTCCTGCACATATTTTTCACCCCTTTTTGTGGCCCGAATGGCACCCTCCCATGCCTTATCCACTATGGATGCCACTCGTTCTTAAATCCCCAAAACCCAAACCTTTGCGGGCCCTTAAATTTTCCTTCAATCATCACTTTGCGGGTTTTTTTAATTTAAAAACCCTCATGCAATTTCCTAGCTTTTAAATTTTTTTATGATCGTTGAGAGACGCTATCCCCCTGCTTCGTTTTTCATTTATCCACCCAAAAGGAGTCTCTCAACATCTTCCATATTGCGATCTTTGTTTCAAAAACCGTTAACCTTTGGAAAGAAAAAGTTTCCCTTGATTGTCTTTTGGTCCCCAAAATAGTGGGATGGTTGAGGGGGTTTTTGTACCTTGACGGTCGGTATAGCACCCCATTTCATACTTCAATTTCTCTTTTTCATTTCTATAGTAATTTTACCTTTGAGGTGTAGGGTTGGGCATAGAAGCTTTTTGGGGGCCCCATGGTCACTTTTTTCCAGAAAAAGCACCGAAAAACTGTAATAATACGAATATTCGGGTATGCTTTGGGTGTTTTCCGCGGAGGCTGGCTGTAAACAATGGGGCGGGTGGCCATGTGAGGGTGGTGAGGGCACATTGGGCGTCTCGGACGAAATGGAACGGGTTTTTAATCGGTATGCGCGGCAAAAAAATTTTTCGATAAAATAATCGGTTTTCGGAAAAACGTATGTGTGCCATCGTTATGCGGGGGGCCATGTATTCGAGCAAAAGCAGAATCTGTTGTGGGGGGGGAAAGGTGGGGCCGGAAACCTGGAGTACGGGGGAAGCAGTCTGTGGCCCTGTCGTTCAACTGGCCCTTTTACATTGAGGTTAAGATACAGTGGTAAGGGTAAATAATTTCGCTCACAGTTGTAACCTCCCACCTGTGCAGCCATGGTAATAATTGTTTGTCTGGGTGACAATCAGGTCATCATGGGCTTGTCAAAGTAAAGCTCGAAATATTCTATGTGAACTTATTCGTGGTAGGACATTCTGAGAGAATGCCACTTCCACTGGCATCAAAATTGAAAGGATGCAACACAAATGTACCGTCTTTCCAATTTCATTCCCAGTCTGATGGTGCATGGTGGACCTGTGGCATGGGGCATGGTGGAGAAGGGACAGGAGTGGAGGCAGCACATGGTGGAGTGGATTCTGGGTGGTCCTTTGTCTGCCTGCCCACCGTGCCACACCCCCCCTCCTCCATCCCCGCATATTCCCCATCATGATCAGTATCACTATCAGTGGCAAGGGTTTTCGATTGTGACCTCCACAACAATTGAGGATTGCATATGTCACACTGCCTGAACATAGGCTACAATACCTAAAGGTATGCTTCACTGGAGAATTACGTATATCACTGTCACTCATAGAATTCCCTAGGGGAATAAAATCACTCGTCGTTTCTGGTATCATTTTCACCATCAACAAAACTATGGGAAATTGTTAATTTTCGCTTACATCATAGCCTTTGAGTAGTAATGCTGGCCACCCCAGACGTGGTGGGCTGAGGGTCATACAGGTTATCACCGATATTTTCAATATTTTTTTGATAATTCGAGGCCAATCCATCTCAAATCCACTAAACTTGGGTTCTATGTCACTTTCCTTGAATAAGAGTGTGTTTATATGAAAGAGTGTGATATTGATCCTAGATGGTGCTGAAACAAACTGGTGCTCCCATGTGGTGCTGCAGGGTCCCCAATTTTTTAATATTACACACACTGAGTGTGCAGACCCATTCTCTCATGTCTAAGCCTCTCACGCCCATCAGGCCAAAGTGAAGGCAGGAAAAATAGTGTATTGATCTGTCATGAACACTAGTAGTATAGCATATATCAATGGTTTGACTGTTAAGGGTTAAAGAATGAATCCAGCTTAATTTATCTGGAAAACTGATATTCAAGAGAACCAACATTAACATCAGCAGCATGCTGTTGAGCAAACTGTTTCTACAATGCTGTCTCAACCCTTGTATCTTGGGCAATTTCCATATACTTACCAGTACTAACTGAAAAGTCTTTTAGGCTAGCATCTACACTGTGCTTCATGGCATATTGTGAAAGCTTTTCCTTGCTTCTGTGAATGTCAGACACTGTTTTGCTGCACCATATTCCTTACACACCCAGGTCACTGAACCCTAGCCTCCAGCTTCCTTATTCATTCAAGTTTCTTCTGAACAGTTAAGGTCACATGCTTCTTCTAGGCACCATCACTTGCTTTAGAAGCCATTGTTAATAACACTTTACACAGTACTTCAATAAAATTATTAAAAACAGTAAATCCAGGGGAAATTGGAGATAAAATGAGTGTGAGTGCATGTGCAGACAAGAACACATTTACATGGGCAGTCACTGGCCCTGCTGTCCATGAGTAATGAAATTGGATGCATCCAGGATGAACCCTTGACTATACAAACTTGTGGTTAAACAGTTAGTCCATTTTAGAGAATGCACAACCAGACTGGATAGCCATTTTATATAGCGGATTTGGTCCATTTCATGGCTATTTTAATCAGACACCTCATAAAATGTACATGCTGATTATTATAATTACAATCAAAACTAAGCACTAAACTGACAAGGATCATAGCATACATGTTGATAATTTGTCTGGCCAGATTTTTTTGTCCATTTTAACTGACATCTGCTTGATGGGGTTCATTTCATCAGACTTTTACTGTATAATCTTATAGAAATAAATAATTTTCATTCTCCCTCCTCGCCTTGTCTCTTTCCCACCCCCTATTACTCATTCCATATAACTTTGCTACTAATGATCAGCTTGAATCAGAATAATACTGTAAATGTAATGTATAATACAACTACATGTAAAATAAGCTTTGGATGAAAAAATATTAAAAGGAATTATATATTTTCTAACTTTTATGTTGAGCAAATCTATTGCAAAATCCCTCAATGCAGCCCAAATAACTGGCATATACACAGATTAACTTACCCTTTGTGGGTTTGGGGACTATAAATGCAGATATTCCTTTGTGCTTTTTAGCCTTATCTGTTGTAGCAAAGACAATCGCTGCCTCAGATTCATAACCATTAGTGATCCAAGCCTTGGTGCCATTCAAGATAAAACTATCACCATCTTCTTTACCCACAGTTGATGCAGCACCTGCATCACTACCATTACCTAAAATGAATTTGAAATATAAACTTAAATGAAAATACAACTTGGCAATAGATATGAATTTAGATACAGTATATTGTGCATAGCGGGACTACAAAGACCACTTATACATAAATGAAACAAAGAAAATGAAGTTAAAGTGTTAAAATAATTTAGAATGATTTTGCTGTAGTGAAAAATAAAAATAAAATGCTACCAAAAAAAAAAAAAAAATATAAGAACTTTTCTGTCAAAATCTAAAATAATTTTCAAATTGATAAGAAATAACAGACCGGGTTCAGAAAGGGCAAAACATCCAACGCGTTCTCCTGTTGTAAAGGGTGTGATCCACTCTTCCTTTTGCTTGTCACTTCCAAATCCTAGCAGTGGACCCATATACAGAGAGTTGTTGACACTCATTATGACCCCAGCAGTTGCACAACCTCTGGAAGGAAGTCTTTTTATAATACAGAGTACAGCCTCTCCTTACTTAATGATGGAGTTCCATTCCTAAGATCACATTGGTAAACAAATTCATTGCAAAATGAGGAGCATACTATAATGGTAGTGAGTTTGTGTCAACCATCTCTGATATTGTTTTTATGTTACCTTTGCACCATTTATAACATTTTTAGTATACAGTGGACCCCCGCCTTACGATATTAGTCCGTTTCTGAGAGCTCATCGTAAGCCGAAATTATCGTAAGGCAAATTAATTTTCCCCATAAGAAATAATGGAAATCAAAGTAATCCATGCAAGACACCCCAAAGTATGGAATTTTTTTTTTTAACACATGAAATATTAATTTTAATACACACAAAATGCAGAAGACATGCAAAATTACTACTCTACTAAGAAGAGAATACATGACACTTACCTTTATTGAAGATCTGGTGATGATTGATGGGATGGGAGGAGGGGAATGTGTGGAAGTTATTGTTTAGAAGGGGAATCCCCTTCCATTAGGACTTGAGGTAGCAAGTCCTTTTCTGGGGTTACTTCCCTTCTTTTAATGCCACTAGGACCAGCTTGAGGTACTGGACCTCTGTCGCACAACAAATCTGTCCATAGAGGTCTGCACCTCCCGTTCCTTTAAGATTTGCCTAAAATGGGCCACAACATTGTCAATGTGATAGTTACCAGCAAGGCTTGCAATAGCTGTGTTAGGGTGATTTTCATCCAAAAAGGTTTGCACTTCAACCCACTTTGCACACATTTACTTAATCTTTGAAGTAGGCACAATGGATTCCACAACTGGCATAGGCTTCTCAGGGTTAGCCCCAAACCCTTCAGAATCTTTCTTAATTTCCATACTAATTCTCACCCTTTTTACCACAGGGTTGGCATTAGAAGCTTTCTTGGGGCCCATGGTGATTTATTTTGCAGTTACAAGCACAAAAAACACTGGGATAAGGTGAAATGTACCGAATGTATGTGTGGATGCGACCGCACTGGCTGGCTTGTAAACACTGCTGCTGAGGCCACACGTGGGACGTGTCCCGGACAAATTACACAAGGCGAGTTTTTTATCGTGAGGCGAGGCAAAAATTTTGCATTCAAATGCTTCGTATGGCGGATCTAACGTAATGCAATGCGTTCGTAAGGTGGGGGTCCACTGTATTTTTAAATGTTTATACAGTATTGTACTGTATATAGTAATAAACAGAATATAGAAAATCAGCTGTAATATACATTATTCAGGTATGCATACTAGTCAGAGAGCCCGTTGTAAGTCCGAGTCGTTGGTAAGCGAGTACGTCACTAAACGAGGAAATGCTGTACGTATTTTGAAAATACTGTAGGAATAGTCCAGTACCTCTGTGTTCTGTTATTGTGAGGATTACCTCTGCATAAATTCTTTTTCATGCAAATACATTATGTTTCCTACACAAGATACTAATATATACAGTGGACCCCCGCATAACGATGGCATCACATAGCGATTTTTCCGCATACCGATTACTTTTATCGCAAAATTTTTGCCGCGCATACCGATTAAAAACCCGCTTACCGATTTTCGTCCGAGACGCGTCCAATGTGCCCTCAGCCAGCCTCACATGTGCCAGCCGTCCCATTGTTTACCAGCCAGCCTCCGCGGTAACATCCAAGCATACACTCGGAATATTTCATATTATTACAGTGTTTTCGGTGCTGTTTCTGGAAAATAAGTGACCATGGGCCCCAAGAAAGCTTCTAGTGCCAACCCTGTGGTAAAAAGGGTGAGAATTAGTATGGAAATTAAGAAAGATTTTGAAGGGTTTGGGCTAACCCTGAGAAGCCTATGCCAGTTGTGGAATCCATTGTGCTACTTCAAAGATTAAGGAAATGTGTGCACAGTGGGTTGAACTGCAAACCTTTATAGATGAAAATCACCCTGACACAGCTGTTGCAAGCCGTGCTGGTGACTATTTCAATGACAATGTTGTGGCCCATTTTAGACAAATCGTAAAGGAACGGGAGGCACAGAGCTCTATGGACAGATTTGTTGTGCGACAGAGGTCCAGTGACTCTCAAGCTGGTCCTAGTGGCATTAAAAGAAGAAGGGAAGTAACCCCGGAAAAGGACTTGCTACCTCAAGTCGTAATGGAAGGGGATTCCCCTTCTAAACAGTAAGAAGATAATGCTCTCCCCTCCTCCCATCCCATCAATCATCACCAGATCTTCAATAAAAGTAAGTGTCATGTAATTGTGCATGCCTTTTTCAGTTTGTGTGTATTAAAATTAACATTTCATGTGGTAAAAAAAAATTTTTTTCATACTTTTGGGCGTCTTGCACGGATTAATTTTATTTCCATTATTTCTTATGGGGAAAATTCATTCGCATAACGATTATTTCGCATAACAATTATCCCTCTTGCACGGATTAAAATCGTTAACCGGGGGTCCACTGTACAAGTGTGAGTCTTTGTACCTGATGTGTAATGCTTAGCAGGTGCTGTATTAGTGAGCCTTTATGGAAAATCTATTAACTGTTTTCAGCTATCAATTTAGTGTTTTACATAATATATTATGCTGCTATTGACTGAACATTTAACCCTTAAACGGTCCAAACAGATCGACGTTCAAATTCGTAGTGCTACAAAAGTAGATCTACTTTTTTTTACACATTTTCAAATATAAAAAAAAAAAAAAATGAAGATAAAAGTTTTTTTTTACACGTTTTCACATGTAAAACAAAAAAAAAAAGATCTACATTTTTTTACATACTTTCAGATGTTGAAAAAACGTATATATACGTTTGGGCCATTTAAGGGTTAACTGAGTTTGTGTATCGTGTATATAATGTCTACCTCAATTCACTGTGCTGCTTTTCTATCCCAAGAAGGTTTAAAGAATCGAGCATAGAAAGTGCTCTACTTTAAGCATTTTGTAAGGAAACATTTGCTATTGTGTATGTATTGTATTGTATGTAGGATTAATGAATCAACAGAAGGTACATAATAGATATCACAGCAGCATAAAGGCACATGTCCAACACTACACCACTGGCTGCAAAGGTGGCAAAAATAAGTAGATAACCCCTTGTGGAAGAGATGAAACTCTTGCTGATAGAACAGATTGAAGTCAATAGCTAAATGAATAAGAGAGTGGTTAATTATCTGAGGAAAGGAACAACAATTACACAATCATCTAAAGCATGAAGGCAGATCAGATGGTGCAAAGGATGGTGTAGGAAATGGGTGGTCTGACAGGCTTAGGAAATGCCAAAACATTCATAACAAATTCACATAACAGACTGCTAATGCAGATCATGATGCTGCTACAAAGTTTCCAGATGATTTAAAGGCAGTGATAGTGGTTCATGGGTAAACACTGTTAACAGTAGGTGTTTAATGCTGACGAGATGTTGCTCCGAAAGGATATAATATGCAAAGCCTTTACTTCCAAGGAGAAGACAACATCTAGATTTAAAAGACTTTGTTTTTTTGTGACAATGTGAACAGACATCTCAAGGGTAAACTTGATACTTTCTGATTTACCACCTTAGGATTATGCATGCTCAAAAAATCTAAAGAAGAACATGATACCAGTACACTAAGGAAAAAAAATGGTGGATTAAGACCAAAGGTTAGTGCTTCTAAATGTAAAGAACAAAATATTCCAAGCACTACTTCTGGTCAACAACACACCTACCTGATCACAAGTTACATTTTGAAAATCTACACTATAATAATTGGATCAGAACATTCTTGTACTACTACTACCACCACCTCTTCCTGCCTATATATAGCCGTCCTGCTCCTCTTCTGGTTAGTGTGACTTTGTAAATGGTCCAAGTCGGACCGAAATGTCGTCGTAAGCTTCTCTCTTTTATGTGCGGGTTATTTGTGTATCGTTCCAGTCATGGTATTGTGCCTTTTTTTTTTGTTATTTTAACATTTGAACACTATTACCTCTAAAGCACACTGAGTCACTGATGGTTCAAATAATCAAACACTGTAAATTGGGGTGAAGCTACATCCAGGACATTAAGAACACATGGGATGAAGTGAAGATCACCAATATAAAGGTGAGACCTAAATGTGTCCATGACTTCACAGGTTTTGGTGCACTTTTGCTTGAGTTGCACCTCTTAACATGACAAACTCTAGAACTTAGTAAATGCCCTTGAAGAGGAAAGATTTGATCAATTAGAAGAAAGTGATTTCAAAAGTAAGCTGATTGCCAAGGAATTATATTTGAAAGACAGTGCAGAAGAAAAAAAAAAAAAAGTAGCAAACCCACAAAAGATCTGGTGACCACAAAGAAGTTTCTTCATCTCTTCACACTCACAGAACAGGCAGCCACAAACGTTGTGAACAATGACTCAATCTATAAAAGGAGATTAAACTTAAAGTAAAGCCTGAAATCACTGCTTGCTCCACACAGAAGTTGTGGGAGATGGTCGATATGTTGAAAAAAAAAAAAGTGTCTATGTATGTACTACACATATCACCATACTTTTTCTGCAGCCAAGTGCTCCCTCACTTAGAATATTGCTCAGTGCTGACGGCCTCATTCAGGGCAGGAGAAATATCGGAGCTGGAACAAATACAGAGATCGTTTACGGCTCACATTGAGCCAGTAAAGCACCTAAATTACTGGAACGCCTGCAAGTCTTGAACATGTACTCACTGGAGCGGAGGAGAGAGAGGTACATGATAATATGTACCTGGAAGGTACTCGAGGGCTTGTTCCCAAATCTGCACACTGCCATAAGATACTGGAGTGAGAGATATGGGAGGAAGTGTAAAAATAAACCCATGAGGAGCAGGGGTGCGGTGGGGACAATAAGGGAACACTGTATCAACATCCGGGGTCCCAGACTTTTCAACATCTTACCAGAAGATATCAGAAACACTGCTGGAACAATGTGTTGAAGCTTCAAGAGGAAAACTAGACAAGTATCTTCACCAGGTGCCAGATCAACCAGGCTGTTGATGGATATGTGGGGCAGCGGGCCTCCAGCAGCAACAGCCTGGTTGACCAGGCGAGCACCAGACGAGCCTGGCCCATGGCCGGGCTCAGAGACTAGATATACTCTCGAAATTCTTCAAAGGTATATCAAAGATAAAGGTAAGTATTGTATGTTTGGCAAAGATCTATGAACTGGGATAGTCTGAAGTGTGAATACAAAACTGCAGAAAATTTAATTCAAACACGGTTCTCTAAACTGCAAGAATTTTACCAGGCTTGACACTGATGTCTAACCATTAAGAGATTTAAAAAATATGGGCTTGATATAATCATTCTATCACATTTTCTTCCTAAAACTTAGGAAAATTAATAGTACAAGTCAAATATCAGAGCGAGTGTCATTATTACAAAAAATAGAAATATTAATTTTGTATAAAAATCAACAAAGCAGCAAGATTAAATGGAAATTGTTTGAATCATAGACAAGAAATGTGCAAAAGACAAAATACAGGAAGACAAATTTTCAAGATGACAATGAAAAAGAAATAGTCTGAACAGACAGAATGGGTTTGAGACTGAAAAAGCATGCAATGCTGTGAAGTTATAATCTAGGTATCGGACAAACCAATGATGTTTCTCACAAGATGTAAAAAAAAAATTAAAAGAGTAATATCAAAAGAATGCAATAACTTAAAATTGTAAAATTATTTTTACCTGCTAATTTCTTCCATGGCAATAGCATAAGCCAAATAATCCATACCAGTCCCACCATACTCTTCTGGTACTACTAAGGCCATCAAACCTAATTCTCCCATGGTTTTTACCTGTAACAAAGGATTACTATGCCAAGAAATTTTGATGTGATACAATAAGCTGTTCATTTAAAAAAAAAAAAAAAATTCTTTAAATTTGAAGTGCTTACACTCAGGAATAATCAGCAACACAGTACGCTATATGATAGGATGACAAGACATTCAAGCATTTGTAACTCTTATGTGAAAATGCATATTTTTAAATGTAACTACCTGGAGTTTACCTGGAGAGAGTTTCGGGGGTCAACGCCCCCGCGGCCCGGTCTGTGACCAGGCCTCCTGGTGGATCAGAGCCTGATCAACCAGGCTGTTGCTGCTGGCTGCACTCAAACCAACGTACGAGCCACAGCCCGGCTGATCCGGAACTGACTTTAGGTGCTTGTCCAGTGCCAGCTTGAAGACTGCCAGGGGTCTGTTGGTAATCCCCCTTATGTGTGCTGGGAGGCAGTTGAACAGTCTCGGGCCCCTGACACTTATTTTTATGGTCCCTTAACGTGCTATTGACACCCCTGCTTTTCATTGGGGGATGGAGATCGCTCCCAAGTCTTTTGCTTTCGTAGTGAGTGATTTCGTGTGCAAGTTGGGTTTACTAGTCCCTCTGGGTTTTTCCAGGTGTATATAATCATGTACTCTCCTCCCTCGTTCCAGGGAATACAGGTTTAGGAACCTCAAGCGCCCCCAAATAATTGAGGTGTTTTATCCCCCGTTATGCGCGCCGTGAAAGTTCTCTGTACATTTTCTAGGTCGGCAATTCCACCTGCCTTGAAAGGTGCTGTTAGTGTGCAGCAATATTCCAGCCTAGATAGAACAAGTGCCCTGAAGAGTGTCATCAGGGGTCTTGGCCTCCCTAGTTTTGAAGGTTCTCATTATCCATCCTGTCATTTTTCTAGCAGATGCGATTGATACAATTTATGGTCCTTAAAGGGTGAGATCCTCCGACATGATCACTCCCAGGTCTTTGACGTTGGTGTTTTCGCTCTATTTTGTGGCCAGAATTTGTTTTGAAACTATGATGAGATTTAATTTCCTCATGTTTACCATATCTGAGTAATTGAAATTTCTCATCTTTGAACTTCATATTTTTTTCTGCAGCCCACTGAAAGATTTGGTTGATGTCCGCTGGAGCTTTGAAAGTGCCCTGCAATGGAAGACACTGTCATGCAGATTCGGGTGTCATCTGCAAAGGAAGAAAACGGTGCTGTGGCTGACATCCTTGTCTATGTCGGATATGAGGATGAGGAACAAGATGTGGAGCGATACTGTGCCTTGTGGAACAGAGCTTTTCACCCGTAGCTCCTCGGACTTTACTCTGTTGACGACTCCCCTGTGTTCTGTTAGTGAGGAAATTATAGATCCATCGACCGACTTTTCTGTTATTCCTTTAGCACGCATTTTGTGCGCTATTACCCCAATGGTCACACTTGTCGAAGGCTTTTGCAAAGTCTGTATATATTACATCGGGCATTCTTTTTGTCTTCTAGTGCATTTAGGACCTTGTCGTAGTGATCCAATAGTTGAGACAGACAGGAGCGACCGTTTCAAACCCATGTTGCCCTGGGTTTGTGTAACTGAGGGGTTTCTAGATGGGTGGTGATCTTGCTTCTTAGGACCCTTTCAAAGATTTTTATGACATGGGATGTTAGTGCTATTGGTCTGTAGTTCTTTGCTGTTGCTTTACTGCCCCCTTTGTGGAGTGGGGCTATGTCTGTTGTTTTTAGTAACTGTGGGACAAATCCCCGTGTCCATGCTCCCTCTCCATAGGATGGAAAAGGCTCGTGATAGGGGCTTCTTGCAGTTCTTGATGAAACAGAGTTCCATGAGTCTGGCCCTGGGCAGAGTGCATGGGCATGTCATTTATCGCCTGTTCGAAGTCATTTGGCGTCAGGATAACATCGGATAGGCATGTGTTAATCAAATTTTGTGGTCTCTCATAAAAAAAAAACATTTTGATCTTCGACTCTCAGTCTGGTTAGCGGCTTGCTAAAAAATGAGTCATATTGGACTTGAGTAGCTCACTCATTTCCTTGCTGTCATCTGTGTAGGAAACCCATCTTGTTTAAGTAGGGGCCCAATACTGGACGTTGTTCTCGATTTTGATTTGGCATAGGTGAAGAAATACTTTGGGTTTCTTTCGATTTCATTTATGGCTTTTAGTTCTTCCTGCGATTCTTGACTCCTAAAAGGATTCTTTTAGCTTAAGTTCAATGCTTGCTATTTCTCTGACCAGTGTCTCCCTACGCATTTCAGATATATTGACCTCTTTTAGCCGCTCTGTTATTCTTTTCCGTCGCCTGTAAAGGGAGCACCTGTCTCTTTCTGTTTTACATCTACTACTCCCTTTTTATTTGAGGAATAAGCCTTGTTCATACATCGAGTGCCACCGAGTTAAAACTGTTTTTAGGCATTTAAATTGGGTCTGTGTTACTTAGTTTTATCTTCCCAGCTTATATCGGTTAGGACTTGGTTTACTGGTCCCACTTTATGTTTTTTTTATTGAAGTTGAATTGGTGAAATGCTCCCTCGTGACTAATTTTCATTATGTCGGTCTGGGGCTTCGCGCATACATGACTGAACCTCAATTATGTTGTGATCTGAGTTATTGTTTTTGATATGGTGACATTTCTTTCAGATCATCATTGTTAGTGAAGATGAGGTCTAGTGTATTCTCCAGTCTAGTAGGCTCTATTATTTGCTGGTTTAAATTGAATTTGTGCAGAGATTTAAAAGCTCGCGTGAGTGTGAGTTTTCATCAGAGCTGCCTCCTGGTGTTATTACTGCAACAATATTATTTGCTATATTCCTCCATTTTAGGTGCCTTAAGTTGAAATCCCCAGGAGCAAGATGTTGGGTGCAGGAGCTGGAAGGTTTTCCAGACAGTGGTCAATTTTTAACAGCTGTTCCTGGAATTGCTGGGATGTTGCATCCGGAGGCTTGTAGACTACCACAATGACTAGGTTTTGGTTCTCGACCTTTACTGCTAAAACTTCCACTACATCATTTGAGGCATTTAGCAGTTCTGTGCAAACAAGTGACTCTGCAATGTACAGGCCAACCCCCCCCTTTTGCCTGTTCACTCTGTCACATCTGTATAGGTTGTAACATGGGATCCATATTTCGTTGTCCAAGTGATCCTTTATGTGGGTCTCAGTGAAAGCCGCGAACACTGCCTTTGCCTCTGCAAGCAGTCCACGGATGTAAGGTATTTTGTTGTTTGTTGCTGGCTTTAGACCCTGTATATTTGCAAAGAAGAATGTTATCGGACTGGTGGTATTGTTGGTACTGGGGGGGGATTTTTTTCCGGCCTTTTTTTATAATTTCCATCTTTGAGTTATTTATGTGATTTTTTCCACAGAAAGCTAACCACCCAAAGAACATTTACAAATATTTCAACTAACAATTTTTAATTAACCAAAGCATTTATACGTAAGTTTTCCTTCCATAACTATTCACTCAACAGTACATTTCCACACCTGTAACTCAGGCATTAAATGAACTCTATTATTTTCCCATTTAAATTCCTCTATTCCTTTTGTTTCACTTGGTACTAGAACACTGAGTTTCCAAGAATTCATTATATGAACAATATAGTGGCTTTCAGCTTGCACCACAAGCAAGAACATGTTCACAAAACCCTCCTCCAAAATGCCTAATTATCTACTGCAAGAAAAGGGGTAATTAGATCCTTGTTTCAAGCACTTTAATCACCTTTAATTAATAATTTTTTATGCATCATTACCTACTACATGAATACCAGTATACAAAATTTTTCAATGGTAAACTACTTTTTTTTTAACATCTCGGCCGTTTCCCACCAAGGTAGGTTAACCCAAAAAGAAAGAAAAAAATTTCATCATCATTTAACACTTTCACCATCACTCATACATAATCACTGTCTTTGCAGAAGTGCTCAGATATGACAATTTAGATGTTCCTCCAATATCCTAAACCAATCCAATATCCTGAAGTGCAGGCATTGTACTTCCCATTTCCAGGACTCAAGTCCAGCTAACTGGTTTCCCTGAATCCCTTCATAAATGTTACCTTGCTCACACTCCAACAGCAAGTTCTAAAAACCATTAGTCTCCATTCACTCCTATTTAAACACACACACACACATGCTTGCTGAAAGTTCAAACCCCTTGCACAGAAAATCTCCTTTACCCCTTCCCTCCAAAACTTTCCTAGGCCAACCCTACCCTGCCTTCCCTCCACTACAAATTTACACACTCTCAGTCATTCTATTTTGTTCCATATAATAATAATAATGATATTATTATTATTTTTACATTATGTATATCATTTTTATGGACCCATGTAGTTCAAACCCATGTTGTTCAAGGGTCAACTGTACTTTCATTTATGATTAATGTGATACCTAATTATCACTTCTTATATAATACCTGTTGCTTTGGGAAGACACCCTCCTTATCAAACTTTCCTGCCATGGGCTGTAACTCTGCTTCAGCAAAATCTCTACAAGTTTTTCTTAACATTTCATGAGTCTCTGGGAGTTCAGCCAAAACTGAAGAGTAGTGAACAGAGGAGACACATGGCTTTATGAAATTCTGTGGATGAGATATCCATCCTGAAAAGAAAAATATAAAACTGAGTGGATAGATAGATATATGTACACCTACCATCTGACTTACGACCTGCTCGACATACGACCACTCGATTTACGACAATGTTTTGTATGCCAAATTTCTGGGAAATAAACAACAGTTTGTGTTGTACAGTGTTTATCCTAAACCTTACAGTATAAAATACAGTACTAACAGCACCGAGCACGTCTTCGGAAGCACACATCAACCAGATAACTGCTGCAGCACATGGGTGCCTGGCAAACCTGAGAATAACATTCCAATACCTCAGTAAGGAATCATTCAAGATTCTGTACACCGTGTATGTCAGGCCCATACTGGAGTGTGCAGCACCAGTTTCGAACCCACACCTGGTCAAGCATGTCAAGAAATTAGAGAAAGTGCAAAGGTTTGCAACAAGGCTAGTTCCAGAGCTAAGGGGAATGTTCTACGAAGAAAGGTTAAGGGAAATCAGCCTGACAACACCGGAGGACAGGAGGATCAGGGGTGACATGATAACGACATACAAAATACTGCGAGGAATAGATAAGGTGAACAGAGACAAGATGTTCCTGAGATGGGACACAGAAACAAGGGGTCACAATTGGAAGTTAAAGACTCAGATGAGTCAAAGGGATGTTAGGAAATATTTCTTCAATCACAGAGTTGTCAGAAAGTGGAATAGTCTGGGAAGTGATGTAGTGGAGGCAGGAACCATATATAAGTTTTAAGACGAGGTATGATAAAACTCGTGGAGCAGGGGGAAAGAGGACCTCGTAGCGATCAGCGAAGAGGCAAGGCCAGGAGCTGAGTCTCGACCCTTGCAACCACAAATAGCTGAGTACACACCCCTCTGCGTTTTCTTCTATTTTCTTACTAGTTCTTGTTTATTTCCTCATCTCCATGAGGAAGTGGAAGAAAATTCTTCCTTTGTAAGCATAACGCATGTGTCATAAGAGGTGACTAAAATGCTGGAGGCATGGGGCTAGTAACCCCTTCTCCTGTATATATTACTAAAGTTGGAAAGAGAAACTTTTGTTTTTCTTTTTGGTTCACCCTGCCTCATTGGGATACAGCCGGTTTGTTGAAAGAAGATACCTAAATGTTTTTGAGGCTGTAACTCCATATTGTGATGTTTCATTAGTCATATGAATAAATTTTAATATATGCAATGACTAATTGCAAATAACTGATAACCACTCAAACTTATTTAAGTCTAGCCATACCTTAATAAAATATAAGATACTCTCGTATTGATCCAACGATAAGTTACACTAAAGTCTATGTTTTATACTGTCTGCATAATTCTCATTAGTTTAACCAAACAAATTAAATTTTCATTACCAATTGACTAATTGCAAATAACTCAAAATTCAATATAACAACCATAACTTGGACAATGAACCAATATGTAATTAATCCTATACTTCACACTATGGTCGTGTTGTGATAATTCCATGTCTGGCAAACCATTAGATTTCCAAACAATAGCTGTTATATTGATATGTACCTGGTGTTAATTCATGTATGGACTTCACAATTGGGTATAACAGATAGACCTCAAGAAACTGGTGTATTGGCCTGGATGGAAGCTTCTCAGTGGGAGCGTCCCCGGTTCATTTCTGGTCAGTGACAGGCACCTGAATCAGATTTCCTTACACATGGCTGTTGCTGTCTGCATGCACAAACAAGTACGAGCTACGTTGCTGATAGGTGATAGATTGGAAGTAGATGAGAACGGGAAATAAGAAACAGTTCCTCAATGACACACTGCCTGCCTTTCTTCCTGAGTGGCTAACCCTCCGGGGTTAGCTACCCAGGATAGCCCAAAATCTTATCTTATCTTAACCCATGGTAGGCCTCACCTTCCATGGGTGGAAGGTAAGTAGCTGTACCGGCGATCAAACCACGGACCTCAGCGTGAGCTGAGTGCACTACCAATCGAGCTACGGGACACATTATGGGTAAAAGATTAAGAGATGAATCTTACCATTCTGTTTGGGTGATTTGCAGTCTATCTTTCAGTTTTTTGTCAAGGCAGAGTACCATGAAGAGCAAGAGTAGTCCATATGACACTTTACAGCAGAACCCTATGTCCAGCCCTTATACAATGTCATATGGACTACACTTGCTCTTCATGGTACTTTGCCCTGACAAAAAACTGAAAGATAGACTGCAAATCACCCAGAACAAGATGGTAAGATTTATCCTGGACCTGAGTCCAAGAGAACATGTAGGCCAGGATAAATTACAACAATTAGATAGGCTGAATGTTGAAGACAGAGTAAAACAATTCAAGTTTAATCAAATTTATAAAATTGTACACCAACATTGTCCAGAATATCTTGCTGCCAATTTTGTCAAGTAGGGAGAGAGAACACAACTTTGTACAGTAGTATTGTACAGTAGTACCCACAGTCAGTGTCCAGGTTTCAAATACCTTTTATTGTACAGCAATAAAGGAATGGAACAGATTGCCTGTACATGTCAAAGCCAGTCATAGCATGAACCAGTTCAAGAACAGTGCTAAAAGGTACCTAATGAATGTAGCGACAAATTTATTTATTTTTTAATTGAACATGATACATAGTTGTACAAAGAAATACAGTGATTGGGTGTACATGCCAAAAGCCCTTGTATGCAGAGCATTATGGGCAGGAGAATCATTTTTTTTATATTTTTGCTAACACACATGTAAATATAAATAACATTTTACCTTATTCCTAGTATATCTACTTTATAGTATAATAATAAGATATTATCTCCTTTATAGTATAATAATGTATTAAAAGAACCTCAATGGAAATAAGTCACTTTGACTTTTTTGGGTTATCCCAGGTTCTCTACACATATGTTGTTTTTGTGTATACTTGAATAAACTTAATTACTATGAACCCCACTAAAAATCAATAAGAATGATCAGCTTCCTTGGAATATTTCGAGTTTCTAACCTCCGGTTAATATGAACAAATACCGATCACCATAACTAGTTGCTTGTACGTCCCCTAGTTAACGTTTACATAATATCCAACTCTAAAATTCTATATGTATTAACTTCAAATATAAAGTTTCATCAATATAAAGACAAACCTTTGTGTCTGTACACCGAGGGTCGAGAAATCCTAGAGAAAGTGTTCATCAGCTGACTAATAGACGCCATTATTGTTTTGTCTTCCTGGCAGCTGCTGCAGCATCCACTCACTCTATATTATTATTATTATTATTATTATTATTATTATTATTATTATTATTATTATTATTATTATTATTATTATTATTATTATTATTATTATTATATAATAATAATAATATCTTTATTTACTACAAGTACACGTACAAGGTATACAGACGTAGCTGACATTAATAACATATTACTATATAGAAAGCCGCTTGTTATGCTGAGCATTTCGGGCAAATTAGGTCAGTTTTGTCCCAAGATGCGACTCACACCAGTCCACTAACACCCAGGATGCGACTCACACCAGTCCACTAACACCCAGGATGCGACTCACACCAGTCCACTAACACCCAGGATGCGACTCACACCAGTCCACTAACACCCAGGATGCGACTCACACCAGTCCACTAACACCCAGGATGCGACTCACACCAGTCCACTAACACCCAGGATGCTACTCACACCAGTCCACTAACACCCAGGTACCCATTTTACTGATGGGTGAACATGGATAACCGGTGTAAAGAAGCACGTCCAATGTTTCCACCCCTTCGCCCGCAATCGAACCCGGACCCTCACTGTGTGAATCGAGAGCTCTTGCCACGGGGCACCGTGACTAAGTAAGTTTATTCAGGTATACACAAATACAGTTACATAGAATTATCATACATAGCAGCATATGTGTAGAGAACCTGGGATAACCCAAAAAAGTCAGAGTGACTTATTTCCATTGGGGTCCTTTTACCTTATTATTATAATATAAAGGTTATAATATTTTCTTATTATTCTACAATGAAGATAACATCTTATTATCATACTAAAAAGACTACTACACCAAGGTCATTAAGACTATCTACAATACGAGGGTCATTACTAGGAATAAGGTAAAATTTACACGTATGTTAGCTAAAAAATAGAAAATCATTCCCCTCCCTTTCTGTAGCTACATTCAACAGACACCTTTTGGCACTCTTCTTGAACTGGTTCATGCTATGACTGGCTTTGACATGTGCGGGTAGTCTGTTCCATTCCTTTATTGCTGTACAATAAAAGGTGTTTGAAGCCTGGCCACTGACTGTGGGTACTACAAAGTTGTGCTCTCTCCCCCTAGTACTATGATTGCTGCGGTTCCCAACCTTGACAAAACTGACAGCAAGATATTCTGGACACTGTTTGTGAGCAATTTTATAAACATGATTTAGCTTCAGTTGTTTTATTCTATCTTCAACATTCAGCATATCCAACCTAGAATAACTTAAAAAAAAAAAAAGGCCAGACAGTTATTTTTTCCAATAAGAATCACAGACTGACCATATCTGGACTAATATAATAGTTTCTCTGAGGAGAGATAATCACAGACAACAACACTACTGGTCACTACCCCTCCATTATCCTCATAACCAAAATATATGAGCTTCCCCTTGTGCAAGAAAGGTATAAAATACCGACAATATTCAAGGGGAAGCTCCATGTGCAACATCTGGGTATCTTTATTGTAGACGTTTCGCCATCCAGTGGCTTTATCAATACAGATTCTAGGACATAATAGGAAGACAGTAGAACTATATACAAAAGATGAGGTAATCAGTCCCTCAGCCTTGGAGTTAGTGTTCACAGCATCGTGGTGGAGGAGAATCTGGCAAGAAGACTGGCGGTTATATAGGCGTCAGTGGACCTTTCTCCCTCGGGAGCCAGAGACGGGTCATCGCAAGATTGAGACCCGTGCCAGGACTACGGTCTTGGCGAACATTATACATACAAGGACGGGCAGCAGACGAGGGCAAAGTCACTTATCCACTGACGCCTATATAACCGCCAGTCTTTTTGCCTTTGCTCCAGATTCTCCTCCACCACGATGCTGTGAACACTTACTCCAAGGCTGAGGGACTGATTACCTCATCTTTTGTATATAGTTCTACTGTCTTCCTATTATGTCCTAGAATCTGTATTGATAAAGCCACTGGATGGCGAAACGTCTACAATAAAGATACCCAGATGTTGCACATGGAGCTTCCCCTTGAAATTAGAATGACTTCGTTTCGTCTCCATTATGAGACATTACATAACTTCGCTACAACATTAAATTACACTGACTGGCCAATGGAAATAAATCACTGTGTCTGATTTTATCGGGTTATGATAATTGGTGTAACTGTATATATGTGTACCTGTATCTAAATAAACTTACTGACGACAGGGGCAGTAACGAATGGGTCTGTGGAAAGTTTTTTTTTTTTTTGTAGTTTTCCTAAATTCAGAATGTGTAAATATGAATAATATAATAATTGTGTATTAACATATGACGCTGATTTGATCCTACGAGAAATTTATTGTGAAGGAGGGTGTGCAGCGGCCGCGGAGTGATACAACCCAGAAACAAAATTGATTCATTTCTCACACAGAAGAATCGACTCGAACCACTTTTATCAAACGTTGACTGGCTTTGGAAACTGGCATTTTTTTTTTTTTTTTGCATACATGACAAGCCATGTGAATCAGTTGAATCTGAAGGTGGAACAAATTTCTGATCTATTCAGAGCTAAATTGATGCTGTTTGAAGGACAGGTGAGTTTCTAACTTCATTTCCCATGAAAGTGAACCAGAATTTCCTTCTTCGCTTGCAACAGAAGTAATTAATAACTTGCAAAAACAATTTCGGAAACGATTTTCAGATCTTGGTGGAAAAACAGGTGAAACAAAATCGTTTCAAAATCCACTTGATTGCAGTGTTGAAACTCCCAGGTCAGTTTTAAATGGAAATTATTGATCTCCAGTAACATAATATGCTGGAAGAAGAGTATAAAGAAGGAAATCTGATCTAATTTTATCCATCTTTATAGCTGAATAGTTTCCAAATTGAAGCAATTTGCTTGTGGATTTCTATAAGTTTTTGGCACAATGTGAAATATCACACAAATTTATCCGATGAGCATCTGAAGACCATACTAATGACTCCTCAACCTTGAAACTTCACCAATATTTTGAAATTAAAAAAGAAAAACTTCCATCATTCCCAGTAATCTTGTACAACTTGATCTTGTGTCAGCTGTTCTCATCTGCAGTTCATTAATTATATTATCAGAACACTGTCTGACGTTTTTACTCACTATATATCATTTCTCATTGTATTGTTTCTTCGTAATTGTCACATTTCTCTTGTTTTGAATCATATCATGACGATAAAAAGGATCCAGATAAAACATATTCATTCATTTAAATTTTATTCATTCATTTATATTTATTCTTTATATTTTCTTCTTTAGGCTCTCGAAAATGTGTAAAATATACGATATTGCTTGGTATAAGTCGAGGCAAAATGTGCTTACAACCTCAAGATTTTAGATATCATCAATAATGATGCCTTTGAAAGGTTGGATGTTTGGACGCTAAGATATAATGTTCCAGTGTATGACACTGTCACTGTCCACTGGCGACATGCAGACCTGGAGAGTGTACAAAGAACTTTCACGGCACACATAAGTACGATAAAGCACCTAAACTACTGGGAATGGTTGAAGGTCCTTGATCTGTATTCCCTGGAACGCAGGCGAGAGAGTTACATGATAATATACACTTGGAAGGTCCTGGAGGGATTGATACCAAACCTGCACACGAAAATCACTCCCTATGAAAGCAAAAGACTCGGCAGGAGATGCAACATTTCCCAGATGAAAAGTAGGGGCGCCACGAATACATTAAGAGTCAATACAATAAGTGTCCGGGGCCCAATACTGTTCAACTGCCTCCCAGCCTACATAAGGGGGATTACCAATAGACCCCTGGCTGTCTTTAAGAAGGCTGTGGTTCGTACGTCAGCTTGCGTGCGGCCAGGAGTAACAGCCTGGTTGAGAAGACCCTGATCCACCATGTGGCCTGGTGTCAGACCGGGCCGCGGGGGCGTTGATCCCCGAAACCCTCTCCAGGTAAACAATTTATTTGATGTCATTGACGTCTCGACACAAACAGCACCACTAGAGATACTGACATCCTAGACTTTTCTAACAGTAACAACGTCTTGTAATCTACTCACCTTGTTACTTTCTCCACAGATATGCCTGACATGACACATTTCCTTATGACAGACAATAGATCTGCTAATAATAATAATACATAATAATAATGCCTAATTTTTGGTATGTGGTCCATGGTACCTGATTTCTGGGATCTTATTTTTGATCTCTGGTCTCTGGTGCTTGATCTTTATTTGGTACCTGATGCCTAGTACCTGGTTCCTGGTCTCTGATCCCTGGTACTTGGTGTCTTGTGCCTGGTCACTGGTACCCTGTATCTGGTGCCTGGTCTCTAGTGCCTAATCTCTGGTCCCTCGTCTCTGATATCTGATCTCTGGTGCCTCTTCTCTGGTTTCTGGTGCCTGGTCTCTGATCTCTGGTCTCTTTATCAGTCCTTTCTCAATTTATTGACAAATTATAATTTCCGTAGTGTTCATTGTTGATGGTCAAGAGTGTGCGAGAGCCAGGTAATAATTGATTCACCTGCCTCATTAGTGGTCCTCACACGCACTGTCGAGTGCCCACGTGTACCGCCACGTGTTCTCGAGGACCTGCGCGTGTCACCCGTGTGCTGGGACGCGCACACGTGCATGGAGCACACGTGCTGAAGCTTACTGATGCGTGCCTGAGCGCGTTGACACGTGTTAAGATGTGCTGACACGTGTCAAGACGTGCTAACCGTGTAAAACGTGATGACATGCAAAGAATGCTGACACGTCTAGGAGGTGTTGCCCCTGAAAAAGACTGTGATACGTATTAGGAAAAGGGACGTGTTAGGACATGCTGACACGTGCTTTTCATTAATGACGTGTTAAGACTGTTGACATGTGTTGGGGCTCTCACGTGCTATCACTGTGGTACCTCGTGTTATCAATGTGCTACCACTGTGATACCTGTGTACCACTGTAATACACTGTGCTCACTGTATTACCACTGTGTTCACTGTGCTACCACTGTGCTATCAATGATACCATCATGTGCTACCAGCTGCGATCCCACTGTGTACCACTGT